ATTTGGCCTGTAGTTTCATCTGTGCTGCTTCTTCAATAAGCTAAATTTGTGGTTGGTTCTTAGAACAACCTGGTCACATCCCAGTGTCTTTCCTAAACAGCACTCAGAATGTATGTGAGGCTGAAATCAGCTTGAAGATTCTACACTTGTTTATTTCACTATATTCGTATCATCCTTTTCTTGGGTAAAATAACTGATGAAAATACAGCATCGAAAAGAAATATATGAATCAAAGGTTAGTGGTGACTCCTTTTCCTGATAGTTGCCTCCAATCCAGGATCGGAAACGTGTCCATCTATTAAGATATGTTTATATATAATCACTCATTTGCAATGGTTTTGGATCAAATTGCAACTCTATTGCAATAATCTGACGGCTGAACCACATCACTACTGCTTTTTCAAGGCTGCAAATTTGTGCTTCCTGAATCAGTGTGCTCATGTAAATGTTCACCTCTATCCCAAATATGCATTTTGGGTGCAAAAAGATAAATTCTGCTGCAAAACCTGCAGACAGCTTTTGTTTCCTACTGCACATTCTGCAACTTCTAGTAAAAAAGTAATTGCCTCGCCAGGACAAGCACAACCATCACAATCCTGAACTCTACAAGGCTGTGTTTTAAGACTGCGCATAATTGGTTTGAATATAGCTTTCATTAGTATCCCAGGTAGATTTGGTGGCTGTCACATTCTCTGACAGAAGTTTTGCTAAAAATACAAGATTTTCACTGTTGCTCAGTGTCTCCCTACTTTGATGGAGAATACTTTCTTTTTACAAGCTTATCTACTTCAAGTACATGTTCACTTTGCAACTACAGCTAGTTCAGATTTCTTGCCAATGATATCTGAAGAATGTGTAAAAGGTATCTGTTTAAATGGTTTTCCTTTTTTGGTTGATGTTCAAGTTACACAAATTGACTGACTAAAGAGCAGAGACTTGATATTCTACGCGTAGACCTCACTTAACGACCGACCGCTCAGCCAGCGAGCGCTGGAAGTTACGGCAGCGCTGAAAAGCGGTGTTGGAAATACCGGCGTTTAAAGCTTCTTCCGAACCACTTCAGGAAGAACGTGGCTCCAGCACTGCCATGAAAACTCGGGAAGGAAAAGTGCTCTCTTCATGGACGCTCACTTACCCCCCGTCCCCGAAAGCAAAGCATTAACGAAAAAAGCCCCCAACCACTTTCTACAGACCAATACTCTTCTGCCCGGCGTCCCCCCCGCCCAGCACGACTCCCACGACCGAGAACAAGTGGCTAAAAGACGTCGACGGTCCCGCTGCGTTTTGCAACCTCGCAGCGCCCGAAGGGGAAGACCGAGCGGCAGCTCCGCGCCTTTGCAGGGGAAGGCCGGAGGATTCCCTTCTCTTAAAGGCAGCGACACCCGGTCGGGGCCGCTCCACGCTCACCTCTCCCGGGGATGAGGACCTCCTTCCCGCAACAGGCGTCGCCGGCACGGCGCGCACCTGCCCGCTCGCGCGCTGCCTCTGTGCGACCGACGCGGGGAGGCAGGCAAGGGGGGCCCCAAGGAAGCCGGGCAGGGAAGGCGACTCCGCGCCCCGCATCCTCCGCGCGGAAGAGGCGCAGCTGCGCTCGGACGCGGGGCGCGGGCGGCGGGGAAGCCGGGCCGGGGAAGGGCTCCCCCCACCCAGGACCGCGCTCTCCCCGCGGGCA